TATAAGCGCGATGTGACAATACTAGAATATCAAATGACATCGCTGGTAAAAGGAAATCAAACCACAGCAGATTTCTACGAGCAAGTTTATACTCAACTTATTTTGAATAAAATTACTTCCATGGAAATGGGAAAAGAATCAATAGATCTTTTTGCCAAATCCTACAGGGACAAGGCACTTGGCACCTTCATTAGAGGCCTGAACGGCGACTTGCCCAGACTGTTGGGAACCAAAGAGCCTGCAGATCTCCCGTCAGCACTTCAGCTATGCGAGAAGTTAGAATACCAAAAATATAGGACCAACTACGCAAACAATAGCCAAACCTATTCAAGTAAATTTGAAGGCCCTAGTAGAGGTCCACCTCTACCGAGAAATTCCGCACAACAATTTCTAAACGCAGGTCGGCACTACCAACAATACTCTGTTAACCAACACAGCCACCAAGACCATCGGTGCCAAAGCCACAACCTAGGCCTGAGCCTATGGACATTGATAGAAGTATGCAGACAATACAGATAAACTACATGAACAGACCCAAATTTGGACAGCTGGAAAAGAGACCACAAGGACTAAACGGACTGCCAGACAAAAAGACAAAGAAATTTCCAACTAGACACCGCTAGCGAACAACAACAAATTACAGAGTACAACAACGAACCACTAGAAACTGACGAAGCAACACTCGATGAATACTATTCAGAAACCCCAGATTACATTTTTTAGAGTAGAACCCTCTTCGTTACCCTACTTCCAATCTAAAGCAGGTAGTGGAGAGATGACAAAAATTCTGATAGACACCGGATCCAAAATGATATTCAACCAAGATTAGCTAAGAAACCAATCAAAAACAACCAGTCCTATTTCGTTAACTCTGTGGGCGGATAAGTTCTTATAACGCACCATACAATCGTCAATCCTTTCGACCAAAAAGATACTTTTATCAAATTTTAGCTATTACCCTCCTTAAAGACCTTCGATGCCATTATCGGAAACGATACACCGCGCGAAACTCAAACAGGAACTCAAAAGAGACATTTAAGAACTATTTGCTCAAACCTTAAAAATCTTTTTGGAAACCCGGACGAAAAACGGAAACACGAGAAGAGTAGAAGCTACTATACTCAAGACATTACCCGTACCCAGAGGCTCTCAGACCAGAGGTAGAAAACCAAATACAAGAGCTGTTTGTTTTATTTGAGCTAAAAATGGATGCCTCATGACCAAAGAAAGCACAGAATTGTAATCGATTATAGAAAATTAAACACGGTTACCACTCCAGACAGATACCGGACATTAACAACGTACTTGCACAACTAGGACAGAATAAGTTTTTCTCCGAAAGTTGCTCTCCCGAAAAACTAATACCTATGGCAGAAGAACCAATAAATGTTTTCAAAAATTAAATACTGCTCTCTTTGGGAGAAAAATCCTAAAAATTCGAATTTGTTTTTCCAACATATCACAGATACATTATCACAGAACCAATATTCAATTCAGAAAATTTGCTAAAAATTCTAAGAGAAAGGCTAAATCCATCTGTCATAAAAGGAATCTATACCGACGAAAAAACCCTATGGAAACTTTAAGAAATTTATCCACCTTTTATAATTACAAAACCAGATTCTCAGATTAAATAGTTGCAGACCTGAGAGAGCATACCGCAACAGCAGCGAAAACAGACGGAAGCTGTTAGAAAAAGTATATTTTCCACAAATGACGACTAAAATCATGAAAGTAACGAAGGAATGTCAAAACTGCAAAGAACAAAAATACGAAAAATGTATTTGGTTCTTGGTATCTGGTTCAAATAACATTCATTTAAAATAAATGAATAATCTTATAATAATAATAATAAGTCGGGATCATCCCAGACAAATCCCCACAATGATCAGTAACAAAATATATACAAAATTAAACAGCCAAAAGAACACAATAAAGCAGAGCGTTTGAAGAGAGCTTAGAGAATAAGGGATTGGAAAAAGAGTGATTGGGGAAAGAGAGTTTGTAAAAAAGAAGACTGTAGAAGCGAGAGAGACCGAAGAACGAGACGGTGCGAGGCAGAGCTCAAAGAATGCGGGCCAATTCCGAGAAAGCAACCCTGGACTTTGGACCAGACAAATGGTAAAACCGTGTGCCTTAGTTCTGGAGACAGGAATCGTTATGGTACAACGGTTAATTAAGGAACGGTACAGTCAGTGAAAACCAGGATGTAAAAGTCAGCAAAAATCAAGATCACTACGTGAGACGTTTGGAACGAAGCAAGTCACCGAATTGAGACACAAGTAGATGAGATTCTATAAGGCAGAGAACCTTAAGTTTGAGAGCCTTGGTACAACACTAATCGAGATCAGACCTTGGCGTTGACTCGGCTAGTCAAATAGTGCTTGAACAATCCTGACAAAGACCCGTTTGCGGGGCCTTGGCAAAGATCCGGTCGACGGTTTCAGATATTGCGTGGCGTAAACCGGGCGGATGCCCGAACCGTTCTCGGAAACTGGCGTTGTACCGGCGGTTGCCTGGAAAATGCGGGCGTTACCTACCTTCAGTCCGTCTACGACAGCAATTCCTTGCACAAGTGCTCGGCACCCAGCCCCGCTCATCACCTCGACAATAGTTACGCGTGGCAGCGGTAGTACCTGGAGAAGCAAACATCACACCAGCAGGGGAGAACCAACACCGGAATAATAATTCCAAGTGTACCACGAAATAAATAAACACCATTGAAACCGAAAACTGCGAAGTGTTGTTACTAATAACCGACTGATCACGTTATTATACATTTTGGTGGAACCACCATACTATACCTTCTGAGCTAGCCGCATGTACTTCGTAGCGAGCAGACCAATCAAAATAAGTCTGGCGCCGAAAACGTGATGTCCTGGTATAAACAAAAATAAACAAGATAGAATGCTATAGTCGAGTTCCCCGACTATCAAATAACCGTTACTCAGAAGTGCAAACGAGAAATTAAAACAATTTCTGGAATAACGGTAAAAATTGGAAAAAAAAATAATAAAATGAAAAAAAAAATTTTAAATTTCTGTTTGTGATCGTTAGAGTGTGCGTGGCAAAAAGTTTTTTAGCAAATCTATAGAAAGCAGCTAACCTGATCCATTCCAGGCGCAGAACACAACCAAAGACTCTTTGACACAACCCTTTGAAGCAATAGGTTGCCAGACTGTTCTGCTGGATATACGGAAGAGCAGGCATTAGAAGCCAGCGATCTCGGGGGAACAGGGGTCGCAAGGTGCTGCCTTTTCAAACTAACTAGCAAGATAATAGAAGAGGAGCAGCCGTTATCCGCAGCGGTGACGATTGGTGGGGAGACATACAAGGCTACGATCGACACCTGGGCAACTTCGTTGGCCAAAAACTGACGAATAAGCTGGCTGCTCGAGGAGCGATTACGAGGTCAAGACGACAACTTAGGTTGGCAGATGGAAGGCGCAGCGGGATCAGTACGTAGCTCGAGTTAGAAGTCGAATCCGACAACATGCAACTTTACATGAACTGATACTACCCGGAGTATTGGGCGTTGGGGTGGAATTCCCACACGCAAGCCGGTTCCAAATTAGATGCGCCGGACACGAAATCCGGACACCGACTAGGAATAGCCACAAATGGGTGGCTCTAGGTAAAGTTGTCCGTCGCAGTGTTTCAACAAGACGGTTAGGACGACGACGTAGGAACCTCTCCCCAAAATTCATGGCGGGATCAATGCGAAGATAGACGAATTCCTGCATATGCTATTCGTAGTTCACTCTAGAGCTCACCTATACAGCTCACCCATACAGCTCAACTATAGCTATGACGAAGAAGCAAACAGGCAAATGGAGTCTTATATAAAATATACAAATATACAAATCTTATATACATATAACGCGAAATCTATAAAGGACGCCCACCCAATATAACGAATAAATTATATTCTCAACTAGCTAACGGAGACGCACTTTATTAACAATCTAGATTTTAAGAATGACAAATACCTCTGGAAAAAGTAAGTCAAGGGTGAAAAACTATTCAGCAACATTTGTTTAGGCGATTCGGAAACTGAAGCCATTCCTGGAGGGCAACCGTTTTAAGTTACCCGTCCAGGAACCCGTCCTACGAGAGAACCCTAACTCCCAAGCAGTCGCCCAATAACACGACTAGCAGCCCGGTTCGAGTAGCAGCAGATCGACGAAAAATAACGTTTACGTAGAAATGAACACTGGAAGCGCAAAAAAAAAAAAACAAGAGAAAACGCTATAGTCGATTTTCTTGACTATCAGATACATGTTACTCAGCTAGTGGAAGTGCGGACGAAAAATGTCCTTTCTTCTGGCATATCGATGGACTTTGGGAAAAAATAATACAATTACCGATTATAAATACAAAAAAATAAAAAATATCAAAACTTTTCTAGAATATCGGTAGATATTGCGGAAAAAATAATAAAATTAAAAAAACTTAATCTAGTATACCCTTTTACTCTACGAATAACGCGTATAAATATAGGCGCCGAATGGCATACAGTAAAAAGTTTTATTGCACTGATAAATTACGATGCAAATAAATAGGGGTATCGGTCATGGAAGGATCATCAAATTCCTTTTCAAAAAACCAAGCACACCCCTGACTTGAAGATGGACAAAATATCATCGGAAAATTTATGTTTTGGGTCCAGAAGAGCACCAAGATAGTATACACTTGTTATTCTTTCCAGAGAACACCCACTTAAGAGTCTATAGATCGGATTGTAACTCCGAATGGCAAGAAATGTGCATTTAAATACAATACTCTAAAATCCATTGCCTTTATATCAAAAGCACTTAAACTTAATCTGGATTCAACTTACATTAACTATCATGTTGAATACATGAAAGAATACGCTTACTTTTCAAGAATTCCTTACGTTATCACACCATCTAGAATACATGACGATATTATGTGAATACAAGACCAGAGAGTGCGGTTTTTTTTTAGCGCCATGTCTTAAATGAGGTCTTTACATATCTGTATCCTTTACTTCTTTATTAAAAATATGCTCAACACTTTTTAAATATAAAAAAAAAATCACTAAATAGCACAGTTAGTAAGGCACATAGAAGGCACACAATAGACAATTACTCAAATCATAAAATGTCCTTCATGAATTAAATGAAAAATAATTTTTATATAAAACACAACTAAACCATTACTGTACAAAAATAATGTGGTGTGGCAACTGGTAAGAAAAATTCAAAACATTACTTAGATGCAAAAGTAATGATTAAACTAAAAATACTTTTAATTAAAAAGTCATAAATTCGAAAGTTATATAACGTGAATGGGTAACATAATCTATTTAATCATGGAATAAGATTGCGTTAAATACATTATTAAAGGATGTGATGGGTGCTGCCTGTAATACTTTCAATCGAATCTGCTGGTAGAGAATCGAATCTCTTACCACTTCCGCAATTGGAACAATTAAAGATAAGTAAAATTATTGTAATTGTTTTTTTCTATAACCTGTCTGACGCCATTATCACAGCAGTAATTATCAATTATAAAAAACAAATTATTCATTACAAATTCCGATAGTCTTTTTAAATAGTTCGATATTATTTAATATTTTCTATGAACTATTTAAGAAGTGTGATAACCATAGTCAACTAGAAAATATTTCCGTTAAAAAATTGTATAAACACGGACAAAAACGGACGGGTATAGCAAGGTCAATTATGTTTAGACTAGTTAACTATGGTTCTGATTCGATGTATGTGAAGGTTCAGATATTAGACTTATTTAGCTTGATAAGCTGCCTTTAGCCGTTGATATTCCAGAATTCGAGCAATACCATATTCCTGAAAGATAAAAGATATTTTTAATAAATAACTTATCAAAAAACCAGTCTTAGATTTCCTACCCAATAACCAAACTCAATCGCCGATGTGACATTAATAACGGACCAAAGGCTCCAGAACAGATGAGACAGCATTGTAAAGAACTGAATCTCAGCGTCTACCTTTATCAGCTCCTGGCCAGTGATATTATAGTTCTCGTCATCGTGATACTTCTTTAAATAGTTTACAATGAAGTCGCGCCGCTGCTGCACAGTTGCGCAGTTGTTTGAATTGTGGTAGAAGTAAGGGAACTGTGGATTGGTGTAATCGAAAGTCCACTCAATAAAATGATTGGCAAGATCATAGCCCCGGTAGTTGTAGGCACAATACTCAAAGTCAATAATAATAAGATCCGGCTCATTATCGGCTGTGAAGCTGGCATCCAGGGCTGAGTCATTCGTAGTGTCCAACTCGGTGCATGGTAAAGGCGACACGCTATGTGATTTGCTATACGACACGAAGAGTTTTTGGATAAAATTAGTATTCGGTATACATTGATTTAAACGAATGCCATCATAACCTGTTTTGTTTTGCTTGACCAATAAACATATTGCTTATGAACAACACATATTTTTATAAATCGACCGCATCAAATTTTGGCATTCTTAAATTTTAGACATGTTTATATATAGCGTTGGAAAAAAATAATAGAAACACGTTGGTTGAATCATGGACTTTAAATTTTGTGCTCAGAACGAAAGTATTATTTCTAAAAAATATTTTTATTTTAATTCATATATAGGTATATTTCACGATAAAGAAGAAAAATATTTGTTTCATCTTTATATTATTTTCATTTCTTTGTTATATTAATATTTAGTGGTATTTCCTTAATTTTTTTCAACTGCTGAGCATCGACAAGAATTCACTTTTCACATATTGTGAATTCACTAAATTGGAGCAAATGGTTACTGGTTTCTCCAACAGTATAGGTCTGGCGAGCAGGAACTTACGACAATGACGAGCAAAAAACCCACAATAAAATAATGGTTTATCTGTTTATTTAAGTCTCGAACGATGGTGGTTACTTACTTAGTCTCCGTGTCCGATATATTGCTATTTCCATCAAGGCTATCACCCAAAGTTTCATCGAAGTTGGATCTGTTAATTATGTACATAAGTAAATGTGTATATTTTAAAACTTCTGTGATCCATTGCCATTTATGCCATAAGAAAGACTTTGTGAATTATTTTTTGATAATGTTAAAATAGAACTTACAAAAAAAATTTAAATTTGTAAATAGCAAAATCGTAAGTACTTAATAAGTATTAGGAGCAACTCAATAGATCAAATATTTTTTTCATTTATATATCTTAACTCATATAATCCAACCCACCTCAGGCTGCTGATAGACTCTCGGGGGGTCCGTTCGTTTTGTCCAGCTGTCGGTTGTCGCATTAGAATGTTGCCTTCTTGCAAATCATTGTGACAGAACACAACTGGATATTCTCCTTCGTCGATAATCGCCCTAATCCAGGCGATCTCATGAACGTAGTCAAAAGTCCTCATCAATTCCATTTGCTTCTTCAGTACCGAAGATTTAGTATTCGTTTGGACACTGCCGTTAACAATGCTCTCTAAACCGGAAACCCAACGCTGCATACAATTCCATATCCAATCGGGCTCCTTAGACATGGGTATATTGAGACTGTGGATCTCACCCATTTTTTCAGCCACTCTCATCAATATTCGTTGCTCTCCTAATTCTGCTGTGGTCAAAGCGCGTGCCTAATGGAAGTAAATAAAATGTTATCTTCAGTTTCAAATATTGAGTATATTGCAGTATTCATATATAAATTATATATGGTATTATATTATTTATATTAAATATTATATATATTATATATTAGATATATATAATATTTATTAGATATATAACATATATTAGATATATATAATATTTATTAGATATATATATTGTATATTAGATATATATATTATATATTTACATATTATTAAAAGCAGGCTGCTTAAAAACCTGCTTTGCGGTATTTAGCTCCCACTCGGATACAAGTAAAAATATGTGTATATCTAGACGTAAAATGTAAACACCTTTATTATCGGTTTTAATATTAATATTTTAAGGAACGAAGTTTTGTTTTAAAATTCGTTTGAAGGCACAAATGAATACAGTTGACTATTTTCAAAAGAAGAAACCTTTTTAAAACCTAAGTTCTTTTTAAGAATCTAGCTTAAGTATTGGTGTCTACGTTTAAAGCTTATACCCAACATACCGGAATATATTGTTCAATTCGTCCGCCCGGAAAGATTCCGTGCAGTTTGGGTCCGAAGTTTCGTTCACTGAGTAGGGCGAAAACCACGGACTCGGTAATCATGCTCTCCAGCGCGTGATCACCATGGGTCTGACCATAAATTCGCAGTAGGACCTGTGGGTGTATATCAAGGACGAACTCGTAAAAATAAATAAATAAATAAAATAAACAGGTACAACTGTTGATAACCCACCTCACGGGGTTCCTGCTTGGGGGCGTGCAATCGTTTCGAAGAACTGGAATCTCGACTATCACTATCGCACCGCTGACGTTTGTGTGCTTGTTTGGCGCTTGACGCTGCGTCGTCCTCGTTATTTACTAATTCCGTCGCCGCCAATGTTACGCCCACCGCCTTGGAAGCGGACTCATCGTCGTGTGTGAAACCCGCGCTACTATTGGTCAGAGTTGAGGTGGCCGCTATGACATCTTCGTTGACGTTGACATTTACCTGCTGCTGTTTTTGTTCTTCCAGCACATCGTAGTCATTCAAATCGGGAAGGCTTACGTAATACAAGAAATTTGACAGACCGCCACTGGAAAAAAGGATATTACCAATGTTATGCTTCAACAGAGTCTAGTAAAAATTAATATTTATCTTTTAATTATCTTGAAATAAATGAAAATATAAATAAATAAATATATAAATAAATAAATATATAAATAAATAAATAAATAAATACACAAAAATTCATGTAATACATTTATATTTTACGAACTAGAAGGTTTACCTTATGCGCTTCACCACCAAATTCTCTGGAGTTACCACTTTCCAGGGCCCAGTTAGATAGTCTCGGCAAATACGCGCGGCCGCGTGGCGAATTTCCTCAATGGTCGCCTGTGTATGATAGAGAGGGTGGAGGGAGGGTTGTGTTTTTTTAGAAACTTAAAAGAGAAAGCGGTCGCAAAGAGAATCCCAAAAAAATAAGAGAGAATGAGGTACGGAAATCGACTAAACAATTCACCCCGCTACTGGTGGTGTACTAAAAATAACAAAGACATTTCAGTGAAGAAAATGAAATTGCATTTAAAGGGGTAGACTACAGACAAAATTTATATTGATTAAATAGTCAATGGCGATGGAAAGTAATGCAATTTAAATGCAATTTTAATTTATAGATATAGATATGATATATGATATATGAATATATATGATAGATATCTAAAAAAGAAATACCCTACATTGCTATTAAAATGCTGCCAGATTTTTTCATAATTGCAACGTTTACTCAAACAACAGTTTCGATTTTTATTATCTGGCTGATGTCGACGATTGAGTGATTTATTATTCCTACGATTTCGCTGTTTCATGCTACGCGTAGTATATCAAAATATTGATGTTCTATATTATATAAATCGTATTATATAAATTAAAAACCAGTAGAGAAGGCACACAGGAAGTATTTTCGTTTAACTCAATGCGATAAGTAGTTCCCAGTTGGGCGTACGAAAACAAACTGACTCATCGTTACAAAACCAAGACCCAGAGGAGGCCGAAATAGAAATCCCGTACCGCTCTCGCTCTCTCGACAGTTGTAGGCGTTTCTGCACCATGGACTAAGGACGCAGATCCCAACCACCGTTTGCCCCGGTTTATCTTACTGACGTCTAGGTAGAAACCAAACCAATATTTCCACTTCTTTGATTTTCTACAGATGTTCCCTGTTCGAAGAATCAAAGTGACATGCAAAAATACCGGGAACATTACCGGACTTACAAACCATTTTTTTAGAATTCTTTTTGATGTTGTAGTAATAAACATTAGTATAATTTATAAAAATTCTTTAAATATTGTCCAAAAATACCTTGGCATTCCCACAAACCACGCTCACAACTTTGAAAAATATATTTGATTGCTTTGGTTTTGTATTTCATAATAATGATCAACAAGAAACAAAATTTAGAATAAAGCGTAATATTAATCAAAAGCATATTTAAGCGATTCAAATCTTAAGGAACACAGACACTTGATTTATGGAAATTTCCATAAATCATCGTGAGACATATCGAACTTTTACAAGAAAACCCCCACCCCCACCACACACACTCTTATCAATCCCGTCCAGTTGTTATTGTCATACTGCCTATTGCTGTTGTTTTGGATTCTTCAGTTAAGAAACGGAATGTCTGAAGCTTATTTTCTTTTATGAATATATAACTATTTTTAAACTAGCAATCACCCAAAATCTCTATTAAATGCGAACCTAATGCGAGCCCGTATTACGTACTTAATCACGTCAAATTTTACTTTATATTACTAAGCTTTGAATAATGAATAATTGGCTGGGACCGTGGCCAAGTTGGCATAAGTTATGAGACAACTAGTATCCTAGGAGCTTAGCCTCCTCGCTTTAATGGTTTTATTAATGTTATTTCGGAAGGTTAGGTAAAGTAAACTAAATTCCAAAAAAGCCGATCCATATCACATTTTTTTAGAAGCTCTAAAAGTTAAATTTTATACAAATTTAAATCTACCTGATGTGTGTTGGTTTCAATTATAGAAAACATTTATTTGATATACAAATGAATATAAACCTATGTTGCAGTTATGTTACATGCTTTTGTGGGCATTAGAGTGGGAATTGCAACAATATATTTATATATATGTACATGTTTATACCTGTTACTCGTAGAGTAAAATCTAGATTATTTGAAAGGTATGTAACAGGTAGAAGGAAGCGTTTTCGACTATATAAAGTATGTATTCATGATCAGTATCAATAGCCGAGCCGAAAGATCTCAGGAACTATAAAGGCTGGAAAGTTGAGACTAGGCATGCCGATTCCAGAGACATCGACGCAGCGCAAATTTTTTATTAGTCTTTTAAATTTCTATCGATTTGCCAAAAAAATTTTGTTACGCCCACACAAAGCAAATGTTTTAATATTTTTCCATTTTTGTATTAGTTGTTTAATTTTTAATACGTAACGCCCACAAGCCCCCCAAAACTTATTTTACATTTTTTATTTTTTTTTTCCATTTATTCCAATTTCTACCGATATTCCAAAAAATGTTAAAATTTCTCGTTCCCACTTATACTAGTAACGGGTGTCTGATAGTCGGGGAACTGGACTACAGCAATCTCTCTTTTTTCAGCATGAATTGGCTGAAAATTAGAGTCCAAGTTTAGTTCCTCGACCATAATATACACAGGGCGATAGAACTCCACGGGAGGAGGGTATTGAACTGTACAATACCCAGAACAGGGGCTTATAAAGATAATTTAAAAAAATGTGGGAAATATGATCTTACTGTCATTGAGATGTTTACTATCTAACAGCAACAACATAGTCAAACTACATACATACGTAATTCAATCGTATAATTTATAGGCCAGAACGGTTTATTTCTAAGTGTCGCACGCAATACAAAAATGGAATATAAAAAATACTGATAAGTGCAATAAAGGAGAGTGGTAACGGCAATGAACGAAGAAGTGAGCGACCCACGAGGCGATAACACCCATTCTGTGAGATTAAAAATCGACATGGCACCGCAAAAACAAAAAATGGAATGCGAAACATTTATTTTTTAATCGATTTTGTTGATTTAAGGCAGGTACTTAAAGACATATACTTCCTACTTAGACGTTATTTCAGTTAAAGCATGCCAATAAACCATACTTTCTTTAACAGAAGCCAAGATACATCACAACAAATCTTAAGAAACATTGTAATATTAATACAAGGGGTATCCATACAAACATATACACATATATACATATCTAAATAGGTCTATATCTAGCGTTAATCTGTTTCGTCACGTGTTAAAAAATGTGTACAAGTATATACATATGTACATGTACAAACATTCACATTTAATAAGGTAAAAATGTATCAAAGTTATCATATTCATAAAAATCTCTTAAAGAATTCTATCATTGTATGTGTGTATGCATGTATGTACATGAACGCAGGTGTAAAACCTCTCTAATATAAAGATACATACATACATATATACGTACATATATGGCTACGATCTGAATACGTAAGGCCCATCAACAACCGTAGTCATTGTGCGAAAGGTAAGGGAGTATGGAACAAAATTTGCAAACCACAAACTTTTACGAGCTTGGACGAAAATTATTAGGCGATGCCACTGACATGATTGTCGAGTTTCCCTTCTTACCTTTTGCAAGTTGGTGGCCATTGTCCTTCTCTTTTTTATTTATTTATGGTAATTGACTACTCCGGAACCCAGACACCTACCAAACACGGTGTCTGACAGCAGCACTTTAAAAACTGATTTTGGCCGTGGATTGGACGTCACGTGGTTTTTATTATAGTACAATATATTAACATTAAGTACATACGCGGTTTCTGTCTTAGGTTTCGACGCACCTACTCGCAAGAACACTTTAATTCGACTGCTTAGCACTCGCCGACGTTGATCGGCGGCGCCATAGAAAAAAGCTCAGTATTGGTGGGAGCAGTAGCAGCGAGTGTAAATTTGACTCTCTTCTATTCGTTGATCTGTTAATAGGGAGTACTGCAGCACTTCTAAACTGCTCTCGAAATTTTATTTGAAATGTTAAAATAATATTGAATCAAACAGCCAAATAAATGTGAACTGAATTTAAACTATAGCTGAAGCTACCGTCTTTGATAGCATGTGTTTGCTTTTTTATTTTAAACGTATTTTCCGGGTCTTTTCTATGTCCATTGTGTATTAGGAAAAATTCTTAAAAGTTCGTGACTTTCAGAATAACTAAGTAGTTTAATTTTTAATTACAAAAGTTTCAGTATAAAACCAGACCAGAAATTTAACTTTGCCGTCTAACATGGAAGCAAAAATGGTAACTCCTAGGCCTGCTGCTGCCGAGGCAAAGCTATTTGCAAGTGTTGCCAACAACCAGCACTATCTAAAAACCTGACTTGTTCTGATAGTTATACAGTTTGTATTGACTTTGAAAAAGTTTTCCACTCAATCTGTGTGGACTGCAGTGCGGGACGGCGACTACTATACATACATACACGATAACATAAAAATCAGCTTTGCGTCGAAGTAAAACAAAAATAGAGAGAGTTCTATGGCATTCAGCTACTGTTACACAGCTAGTGGGAGTGCGAAGTAGAAATTTCAAATTAATTGGCAAGAATACTAATAAAATTACAAACAATTTTCAAAAATGTTTGAAAATTTTGGGCGTGCCAACATTTTGAGGATTATGGGCGTGGCTGAATTGTTTTTGACATAATATAGAAATAAGAGAGACAATTATAAAATGAAAATAAATAATGTTGATATGACCAGTTCGAGACGGCTATTGATCCTGATCAAGAATATACATACATATGTATTTACTTCATATGGTCGGAAACGCTTCTTTCTGCCTACTTTTCAACAAATCTAGTATACCCTTGTACTCTACGAGTAACGGATATAAATATGATAATACTTGCAGATGGGGAAAGTCTTTTACTAGCTCATAATTAAAAGCAAGGCTTTTGATTTCTCGTCTGTAGTGCACAGTAATAATTTCACTAAACAATAATAATTTCATCAAAAAGCCAATTATACCGGTTAGGAATATAAATACCTTATGAGGATCGTACATTTTTCATTTACTGCGTTGCAGACTTCTGAATAAAATCAAGTATGTTTTATAAGATTTCCGCGCCCACAATCCGACAGAAACGCCCATAATTTTTAAGAATGTGTTTTTTATTTCTTTTAAATTGTCCCGTACACACTTTGGATGTTTAAGCGGACGTTAATAGCGAAAAGGATTTCAAAATTATGGGAACGACAATCGAATTGAAACCATTTTGCAGAAAAAATTTTCCTGCAAGTTTCAGCTAAGGAGTTAGCGGTTAATTTACACGATGCTGTATGTTATAGACTTGTCACGGCCCACTGACATGCCCATACTGAAGTATATGGAACAGCTGATTAACCGATATTAAGAATTTAGAGTTTAGTAATAACAAAATTATCTTTATGTTAAAAAAAATAAAAGGAAATCCTAAAAATTTTAAAAACAGCTGACCGTGGATAAATGCGAGTACTGTTCTCTTTAATGTTCTGTGTAGAAATGGGAACATGATTTGTCAGCAAACCTGTACTATTCTAAGAATAGCTTTTACAGCTTAATCATTTAGGTATTCAAAAGTTCTCGAAAACTTTTTGCCAACCAAATTACTTAAATATGATTCATTTTCAGGAAATATGTATACACTTGGTAAAGCCCTACCAAGAAAGCTTTTTCTCTAAAATTTAAAGTAGTAGAATTACCCACAGAATTTCTGGCGAGATCTGTTATTTTGGGCCAATACAAATGTGCTCAAATTAATAAAAGTTACACAAAATATTGGAGTATGTTTCATTTTTTTTCATTTTATTTATTTTTTTGATAATCTGGAATTTTGTGTTTGTTGAATGCTGATTTGCTGAACATTACCTTCCTTCTGGATACTTTCTAAATCGTTATACCAACTTTGAAAATTAATAAGCATTTCGTCGCAGACAGTTTCGTTGGCTAAGACAAATGAAAGGTAAATGGGAATGCAAATAGGTAACTTGAATAAAAAAAAAGTTACGGTTTTGAAAACATTAATTAAAAAATTATCATTTTAAGTGATTTTGAATTAATTCCTGTAAAGTGTTTTTTTACTTCTTTTTATATTTTTCAGCCGGTTGGCATAAATTTTTTCTGGGGTGTTGCTGGCAGCTTTTTGTTACATTTTACTGAATTTTTAGTTTAGTTCGATATAAATATTCATACTCAAAAATAGGATAAGGTTTTAAAATTAAAAATTGTAAAAGATTACATAAGTTATTTTGCCTTTAATGTTTTTCTTACTTAAAGATTTTGTTTGCAATTTCTTTCATTCGCTTCGTATTTTTTTTTTACAATTATAAATTTGACGCTTTTTGTTTACAACTTTTCTTCTTAAAACATAGAGGGTCTCGCATCTTAATTTCGCTTAACTTGTTCTCTTAATCCTTCGTATTATTTATACCTTGCTTTAAAGTTAAGATTTTAAGTAGGTTTTTAAATGATAATGGATTTTTTTGTTTTTCGATTGTTGCCGTTATTGTTGGTTGGTAGGTTGTTTGTTAGTAGAGACAGAGAGAATCGGTACGCTATAAAACTACGCTCCCATTGCAGGATTGTTATTGGAGAATTGCGCCCGCCACCCAAGCAGCCAACCACGTATCACCCGCTCACAAGAGCGGTGGATGGATCTGGTGCGGGTTCCTGGCGGTAGAACCGTAATTTGTGTGATTTGCTTGTTTGTTGTGTTAGTAAGTATTTAATAAGTAGATTACTGAGTGTGCTGCACCGCGGGCGATTCCCTTAGGCAGCCACTTCGCTAGCCTCGGCCCCGTTCTGTACCTCATCCTTTGTGCTGGCCTCGTCAAGCTTCGCCTTTTTCTCCGGCGTGGCGACAGCCTCGTCGGCCTTGACAGCAGCCTCATCCACCTTCCGCTTTACAGCCTCAATGGCGGGAGCGTCTGTAGGACCGTAATAAAAAAGGAATAATAAGAACCTAAACGTGGAAACTCGTTAGGCGTTGATATCTACATACCTGTTGAGTCACCGTTAGTGACCTCCCCGGAGCCATTCTTAACAGCAGGTAGAACTGCTTCGCTGCTCTCTTTCTTGGTCTCCTCGCCGTCGGCTTCGGAATCCTCCTTTTTATCCTCGTCCTTCTCATCCTTATCGCCGGCGATAGAAGCAGTGGGCTCGGTCGCCTTTTCACCATCGATTGCGTCGGCGGCCTCGGTTGCGGTGCTGTCCGGAGCCCCGGCTCCGTTCTCCTTGGCTACGCTCTCCTCTTCGGCGGCACCGTTTTCTGTGGTGGTTGCCTTCTCAGTTGCTACCTCCTCGGCGGCAACTGCGTCTTTCTTCACATCATCGACTTCCTCAGCTGCGACCTTCTCGACAACAGGGGTCTCACTGATGATGATAAAAAAAAGTTATTAAAAAAAAGGGATAAATATATATATATATATATATACAAATTTTTAAACGGAATATTTAGGGTTTTTACTGGATATCATTTTTGATACAGTCTGTGTTTTTGTTTAAAAACATTATTTCTGCACTCAAAAATCTTTTAACAATTCCACTCTAGCGACGGTAAAATTTTCATCCCCACTCTTCATAAGTACCAAAGGATAAGCTGAAGTTCGGAAACAAAATAAAAAGATCCATTGTTACATCTGATGGGCGTCTTTATGAAAAATAGGAGCAACAACTCGTGCAAGCTGTGGCGCCTAAAGAACCCCGAAATGTTGAGTGCGATTAGGCGGTGAGCTCTTTTCCATATAAATGGCATCAGTTCATGTGTTATTTTAGAGCTCTCTACAAAAACATGAGAACAGGGTAGCATCAAAAATATGCTTGCAGACGTGCAAAATGAAAAGCGAGACCCGTTTAAATTAAAACGAACAAAGAGAGAAAAAACCAGTTTTCAGGCGACTAATGACAATATAGTCGTTTCTCTCGCACGCATCTACCAACGGATACTCGCAATCTGAGGTAGATGGAGTTTAATGGGCGAGCAAAGGAGAGTTGCAAAGTAGCAACGCTAAACAACAAAAATAACTGTCAAAACGATACAAACAGTAACACAACGTCATACAAATACGCGTTGGGCTGGCTTGTACCCATCCCCTTTAAAAAAAATTTGCACAGCCTAAGACATGAGTCGAGATTAAACGGTGTTTTTTTTCTATTTCTTCTTAAGCAGCAACGTTTAAAAATGACTAAGAAAAAATATACTAAATAAAAGTGTTAATAGGGACGGCAAGAGCGAGTATTTTTGGCAATGACAAAATAGCTAAAGATGTACAAAATTGTACTGTTAATTCCAAGCTTCGAGCTTTGAGCTAGCAAACGAGTGTGAAAGCCAATCCCCGAAATATGAAGGTCTGGTGAGGAAAGAATCAAATGCTAAAGCAACAGCAAAGGTAGTAAAGACAGCTGAAATGAAACAGCACAAGAAAAGAGCGGCAAATTGAATGCTGCACACGCATACACACGCACACATCTTATACACTTTTGCGCATTTGGCTTGTCGTCCGCACACACTCAAAGCATTCCTCCGACGCCACACACACACACACACACACACACAAATAATTCATCGTTGCCGTTTGCCGGCCGGAGAATGAGCGAGAAGGCACCATGACGCCGCGCCAAATTGAACGGCGTCGGTTTTTGCGCGCACACCGTTGTGCCTTTGGCGGGAACGAGACAACTACATTAGTGCCAACAAGCGGTTTGCGTATATAGACAGAATTCAAAAGAAAAATTTTCCAAATCGTTGCGAGATTTACATTTGCAAAATTTGCTGCAAGTCCATTGCCTATACAAAATCCACAAACGCCCGAAAACAAGGCAAACAATGTACTCACTTCTTTTGCTCAGCCACATCAGCCATTTTGAATTACTGTTAGATTTTACTTTTCGAAGGCGAAGCGAGGAGACAAGTTGTAATTGAGGGGTTTGGTGTCACTACGCACGACTCGAATATCTACACGAAGATTTTAAGGAACTGCCAAATTTTATAAATGTTTGCAAACGTAGTTTCCTTCTTAGTAGCTTTAAAAAAGTCGCTGGATTGCTGGAGATTTTGCCGTACAAGTATGAACGTCCACACAGTCACAAAGAAAAACGCCGAATGAGAGAGCAAAGAGCGTCGGCCCGGCTTTTAAAGCGGCGCGCTCTAGTGTTGGTAGACGTCGTTACTCTGCTTGCGATAGTTCTGCCGCCGGCTGAGATCTGAAATTTCGAGTGGATAGGAATGACATCGATAGATATGCATAACACATTCAGCTGCAACTGCGGTTGGTACACATTTTATTGTTGCCACGGACGCTTTTTTTTTTTTAGATACAAGCTTTCTGAACTTTCGATGTGTTCTTTGGCGATTGCCAACACCGCAAGCACTGAGAGCGGATCGATATCGGCTAGAGGTGAAAATTATGATTGTGATAGAATTTTTTTTATGCACCACAGTTCGATAAATAGTTATTAATTATTTGAAAAATAAATTTCCCAAACATTTGCTCACAGTATTTTATCATAAATTTAGCAAAAAAAAAAAATAAAAAAATAGTTAAAAATGTTAATGACTACAAAGAAAAAGTTGAGTCTCCTACCATTTTTTGTATGTTATCAATATCTATCACCCGGTACTTGGAGTTTTTAATTTGGAGTTGGCTACTGCCAAACTCCTACTTGTATGCGAATTGTACCATTCAATTTTATATTAAATAGATGAAATAGCAAAGCGCAGTGACAAATATCTAAATTTCACGGTCCATTTCTTAAAAGAGATGCCACCTCATAACTTTTATTTAGCGGCTTTACAATAATAGTAATCAAAATATTCAAAAATGTATTCCCATCCTTGTTTTTCCTATTGATCTCAGAGATGTTTCAGGTAAATATACCCTCCAAAGTCGATGGGTTATCAGATGGGTTTATTCCTGATACGTCATTCGAATAATTATTTTTTTAAAATAATTATATTATAATTAATTATATTATATTATTATTACTATTATATTAGTCAATTTGGTACTTGCACAGTCGATAAGAATTCAATAAGTTATTACCATATACAGTAGAGTCCGGTTATAACGACTCCGCTTATAGCGTCAGTCCGGTTATTGCGACGGAAACTCGATGGCTTGGTTGGTCCCCATACAAAGTTATATGAAAGGACCTCCGGTTAGTACGTCTCCGCTTTTAGCGCCATGCCGCTTATACCGACGAGATTTTTCATAATTCAACCTGATATTGCGACGTGCCAAAAAAAAAAAAATATATATAGAAAAATATTTACAATAATTTACAGTAATTATGTAAAATAATTACAAAAAAAATAAATATGTAAAAAATCACAAAAATGTTTACAGCGTGCGTGTGCACCCATCTTATTCCATAAGATGTCCCGTTATATTTATAGTTTTTTCTGTTTTTTTCCAATAAAACTTAATGCGTAAATTCGCCAAATGTGAGTTGATGCACTAAATGCACATGATAAGCTCATTCAGTTTAAGCTCGACACTTGCGCATTGGGCCCACAAAATGTCTTTAAAACGAAAGTGCTTCTCCGTCGAAGGAAAAATGCAAATTATTCGGCTGTTGGAAGCCGGTGAGCGTATGAAAAACATGGGTTAAATTAAATTTATTAAATTTTTTGTTTAATTAAAAAATTAATTTGTTTTATGTTAAAACATAATACGAACATGGCAACCATAAAATAAAGTAAAAAATTATGTTTTTTCCACCTTTCTGCGTCTTTCGGGTATAACGACGAAAAATCGTCAGTCCCTTGAAAGTCGCTATAACCTGATTTTACTGTACATATGTACATGCATACATTGTACACATACGCACACACACACACGCACACATATGTGTATGTGTATTATGGGCGGAAATAATAATTTTTCACCCCTCGCGAAACATTCCCAGGTAGCGAGATACATGAGTACTTACATGTGTGCAGTGGCGTAGCCTGTGTTCTGGATCGGTATAATACGAAGAAGAAATAGAATGCATGCTAGGCAGCTGCTGGAAAATTTTCTGCTTTGCTAAAATGTTATAAATATTATAAATATAAATATTATTATATATATTATTATAAATATAAATATTATAGGCTATTGGCAAGAAAATAACAATAGTCATTGGACTGGGTTTTTTCTTGCCGAAAATATTCATTCGGAACACTCGTTCTATTTTCCTTCTTATTACATCATAAACTTCTTTCATAATAATTTGTGCCTGAAATATTTGTATTATTAATCAACAAAGATTTTTTGTGCTTGTTTCTAAAACATAATTTAAGGACGAGGCATTCGTTTGGGATACGCACAAAAAGCCATACAAAAGTTGTCGACAACATTCAACCAAACTATTTCTCTTTCTGTCTCTGACAATTTGAATAATTAAAGAGCAATTTTATTATAGTTAAATTACATATTGTACATACATATGTACATATACATGTACATACATATGTACATTACATCGTAAAGTGTTGGATCCAAAGAATTTATTTTTGAGCATCACTCATGTGCTATTAACGGGTGCATGTCATACAACTAGTGTCATAACGCCCACAGGCACATGGTCGCTATATTAAAAAGTGTTATACCGCTCGTGACGACTTGTCATTCGACTATTATACATATACCAATTACTCGTAGAAAAAAAGGGTATACTAGATTCGTTGAATATATTCGCCCCATTCTGAATATAAAAGCTGAAATTAACCATTTTTTTTTTTTTACAAAATCACTTATTATGAGCTAAACATACCTGAAAGTATTTAATATATTGATTTTCCTACAAAATTAACAGGGGAAAACTCAAACAAATCGCAGAAACCTAGCTTGTTTCTATTATTTTTTCCAAGCGCCAAAAATGAAGTTAATTATTTTTAGTTAATATAAAAATATTTTTTTATTTTTTTCCACCACTGTATACCAATTACTCATAGAAAAAAAGGGTATACTAGATTCGTTGAAATGTGTAACAGTTAAAAAGAAACGTTTTCGAGCAGATATCGGGTGCATTGCCGGGCTTAGTTATATACATATATATATTATGATTACAAAATTTTGATTTATTTATTTTTAAATAATCATGCTACGCAATTTATAAATCTAGTTCCTTCTACTTACGGTTTATGAATTTATTCATTAATGAAAATGTGCCCAAAATGTGCCACAGTGTCGCGCCTTCACTACGTTCACTCCCTAGATATGCAAACATACATATAATTAAACATTATAATTAATATAAATAAAGTCAAAAAATAAAAACAACCCGTTACTCAACTAGTGGAAGTGCAAACAAGAAATTTCAAAATGTTTTTGAAATATCGGTAAAAAGTGGAGAACAAATAACAACATGAAAAAGAACGCAAAATTTGTTAAGACCGTGGGCGTAAGAGTTATGGGCGTTGAAGTGGACAAAAAGTTTTTGGGAAAACTAAAGAAATTTACATGATATATAAAAAAAGTAGCACAACATTTTTTAAAATTGTGGGCGTGACAGTTTTGGGCGGTTTGTGGGCGTAGAAGTGAGAGTGGCAAAAAATTGGCATTACGAGTATCGGGTATAATTAAGTTCCAAATTATTTTTTCATCACAAAAGCTAAAGAACTTTTCATAAAGAAAAGTTGAAATGTCATCTTCACTAGTAGGAAGTGCTTTGATTTGATATAAATGGTTTTTTAAAGAAAAAATTAAAAAAATAGTTTGTATTACCAGAATAAATTTGTGGTATTTAGAGAAAATATATAAGATAGCATTAGGATTAGGATAAGATAAAATTCTACGGTCAACAAATCGTAGATTAAATAAAGTATAAACAGTATAACGTAAATATCTCTTACTCATGATTGCATGCTATGTTCAGTACTACAGCACCCCGCCGCCACACTCGCACAGGCACTCTTGACCAGCAGCTGCACTCTTTGGCGTTTTCTTCAGTCGTTCGTTGCCTATTGGCGGGAGACCTTAATGGAGTCGAATGAACTTTATGATCTTCCGGTTATATTCTGACTACGCTTTTGTGAAAAGGGTATCTTATCACGCTAGCCCAGCTGTACCGTTATCAGTGGATTGCTCCGATCGCATGCGCATAGTAGAGCTTTCAGCCGAAAAAGCTTTCTCTCGTTCGACCTGTGAGCGGTTAAGCACGAAATAACGGAGGTCCTTGCTGCTGAGGCTGCAATCGACAGTCAGTCAAGTTTATCGGGCGGCTTAGTTTAGTCAGAGGAAATTGCTCGGTGTCTAGTGTGGAAAATTGCCAGCAGTAAAAACTGAATACAACGAAAAAGGGAATAACCTGCGCAGCAAACGTATGTTATAGAAGCAGTGAAGTCGGAAAAACTCCCGAATATCTTGGACTAAAATACTGGACTTAAGTCCTGGGGGTGTTAGTTACTGGGATTGAAATTGAAATCAAACGAGTGTTCGTTGCAATAAGCAGAGGATAGACACACTCGCGCGCTGCTATACAAACAAAATCAAAAAGCATTAAAACGAACCTTGAGCAACTGAGCCTAACCCACACAACCATAATAAACACATGTACGCGCCTACCTAGACATGAAACGGATTTTCCACAAGAAAAAGGAAGAGAGGTGTGTTACTTAGTTCGTCAGTCGAATACTTGGCAATGGTGAAATGAAAAGGTAGTCATAAAAGAGAAAGTGGTAGCGGGGTAGAGAGCAGCGAGAGACAGAGGAGAAAGCGAAAGAGCGGAAGAAATTCTCTTATTACGGCTACCGTAGTCGAATGCTGCAAAAAGGTACAACTTCGTATAAATGGATCAATGGATAAATGGAGTTATGACAAAACAATTTAAGTTTTCTATCCAACTAGAAAATCCAATTTTCTGTAATCGTTAACGCGTAAAAACTACTTGTTATATTACAGAGGCGCAAAACTATTATAATATTTTTATGTTTTATTGCAAAAAATGTATTCTTGAGTGCCAATCATTGCGTAGACACATACATATGCAGGTAAACACATTTTTTCGCTGTGTGTTTTGTACATAAATATATGTAAATATGTACATATGTTACATATGTTACGCCCAAGGACGCTTCCGCTGTGCATTTCGCTTCTAGACATTCATTTGAGAGAGTGGGGGAGGAGCGACGATGCACCGCTAGTGTCAAGATTACTTGCTTAAACTGTGTCAGTGTGTTTGGTTTTTGACTGGCAGTGCTCCTATTTCTCTTAAAGTTTTTAGGTCCTTCACATCATAAACAAATAAGGCAAGGACATGGTTTAGCTTTATTAATAAAACACGAATAACAAAAAAGGTCGCCGAACAACGAAGCTAGACAGAACAGATGGAAGCAAATTTGGAGAAAGGTCAGATGACGACCGCATCGACAAGCAAATCGCCCTCGCAGCGTCAGACAACATCCCGTCGGCGGCAAAACGACAGTGATGTGGCCGGAGGAGTGGGAATCACCGGTGGTGGAGTCGTCATTCTGCCACAGCACGTGCTTAACGAACTCTACCACAACTACTCCATCAAACAACGCCGCAGTGGATTGAAGTGGTTTGTCTTCGCGGCCGTATTGTTCAACTTTTGGACCATCGGAATACCATGGGATCAGGCGGCCCCTACGAGAGGTGAATAGAGATTAGTTGTTTTACGCAATTGTTTTTGCACTAAGGACCTTGTCGGAAGAATGTAGTAGAAAACCTTACATACATATACATATATGTACATATGGAAGAATAACTTTTAAAATAAATACAACCGTGTATTAATACAATTTTTAAAGGTGTAAAACAGCCGATCACAGTTGGAATCAATTAAATTATTTTGTAAATGGTTTACATATGTAGTGTATATACATTTTTTTCATAAGCTTCAGTTTCAATGTTGGAAAACCAGAGTAGCTATTTACATACGAATGTGAGTATAAAGTGCACAAACTTCAACTTTGGCAATCTGCCATTATGGATGTACTTCCTTCATTTTAATTTAGATATTATTACCGTCAAGATTGTTATTGCATACTTTCTTGGTTTTAGATTTCATTTTAGTACCGTTCAAATTATTAGTTTTATATATATGTACATATGTATGTATGCATGTTGGTAGACCTCAAACACAGATACTGATATTAACGGTTGAATTATTTTGTGAACAACAAAATGGAAGATTATGTTATACATAGGGAAAAGAAGACTGCGACCCAAGAAAGTATGTACATATGTATGTATGTATATTTATTTTAAAAAGGGATTTATCCAGTCGATCTATGTAGGATAGTTTTTAAGATAATTTTAATTTGATTACTCTTTCTCTTATTATTACCGTATTCTAGTGGTCAACTGTTGTATGCTGGTGGCGTACTTGGCATTAACAGCGCTCCTTTACATTGGACGACGTTCTGATCGACCGGCACTGAGGCGCTTGCACCAAATACTCTTGATTATTGTACCACGGGCACTGTGGCTATTAAGCATTGTACATTTTACCGTCTATATTATTCTGCAACCTAGTTTTTCACCAAGGTGAGTTAGCTAAGTATAATGTTAACTACTGGAGGAGTGTCCCCCACAAAGTATATTTTGTAATTCTTGAAAAGACAATAAACTGTTCATACATTCAATTTGTTCATCCCTCATCTTTTAGGGACCTTCTTGGCTGGGCCATCCTTCTAAATTTCTTGGTCTATGTGACGCTGCCATTACAGCTCATTTTCCTTGGTCTGTCGATTGGATGTATCACATATTTTATTTGTCTTAGTCTGCCTGTTGGCTATTCTCACTGGGACTCGCTACTCTCGAACCAGTTAGCGGCTAACGCTGTTTTAATAGCCACGGCAGCGCTCATTGGCCTTTTGTACTACTTTATGGGTGAGGCGAAACAGAAACGAGCCTTCCTCGAAGCCAAAAAGAGCCTCGAAGTAAAAATGGTCATAGAGGAACAGTCGGCCGAGCAGGTTAGCATTCTGTTTTACTGACGGTCGGTATGCGATATAATGCTTGTAATTATTAGGAGCGTCTGCTTTTGTCTGTGCTGCCCAAGCACGTGGCTATTAAGATGCGGGAAGATTTGGGATCATCCAGTTCCGAGGCTTTTAAAAAAATCTACATGAGTCGGCACGAGAATGTAAGGTACGCTTAAAGATTGAATATTTGCTGTCAAAAAGAAAAAAAATGTTTGCTTTTGCGTTTGAATTTTTCTCATATAAAACTGTACAATACTCAAGCTCTTTTTTCTCTTTTATATAAAGCAGCGTATCTATAGGTGTTAGTATTTAATTTAATCTGCGATTAATTTAATTCACTTCTGCGAATAAATTTCAAAATACTTTTCCTATTTATTTTGTACAAACAAGCATACTATATGCGGATATTGTTGGCTTTACCGCTATCTCCTCCACGTATAGTGCCCAAGATTTGGTAAAAATGCTTAACGAGCTCTTTGCGCGTTTCGATAGGCTTGCCGAGGTAATTTTGTATTCTACTTTTCTCTTGCATTATATTTTTTGTTTTTTTAGTTTTCATTTACCTGTCCCGGCCAAATCATAAATGGTTGATTTGATCATATTAAATACATCTTTATCATGAAGAAACCATTGATTTGCTTGAGAATATCATGATTCAGTGAAAAGTTTTCTATTTTTAAATTCTATTATCAAACCACTTGGGGGGGGACTTTTTATGACGCAGCTCATTATAATTATTACTATTATCCCATAAGTCAAATTAAGCCAAAAACAACTGCTCTAAAAGTTATTAACCAAAAACCGATGTACAATCTTATGTTTTCAGAATTCCGAATACGAGACCTTTAAACGCATGTTTTGAGCTTTTAAGTTTCAAATCTTTTATTGCAGTTTTAAGTGTTTAAAATGCATTTAAAAACAAGAGAGAATGCTATAGTCGAGTTCCCCGAGATACCAACGGGTATCTCGTTACTTAGCTAGAGGAAGTGCTAACGAGAAATTTCAACATTTTTTGGAGTATCCGTACAAGCTTGGAAAAAAAATAATAATAAGAAATTCTTCAAAAGGGCTTTGAACAAATTTTTTTGGCAAATCGATGAAAAAAAAAATGGGCATGCCGTTGGGCTGTTTGTGGGCGTTAACAAACGGTCAAGAAACTTGCGTTGTGTCTATGTAACTGGAAGCTGCATGCTTAATCTCAACATTATAGCTTTTGTACTTCCTGAGATCAAGGCGTTCATACGGACAGACGGACAGACGCACATGGCCAGATCGACTCGGCTATTGATCCTGATCAGGAATATATACACTTTATATGGTCGGAAACGTTTCCTTCTGCCTGTTACATAGTATAAAAATAAAGACAGCACAACTGCGGTTTGGTTGAATTATATTCACATACAAGCTTTAGTAATCTGTCTGGAAACAACATAAAACTATGTAAATAATTCTTTCTTTCTTCTTTAAAAGTTGTGGTAATTTTCGTTAAAACAGCTAAATTTAAAATATAGCAGATATCGGATATTTTAATTAGAATGTAATCCTTTTTAGATTGTTAAGTTTGCTCTCGATATATTTAAAACTGAACGACTAATTAATTTTGGGCAACAAAAGTAGTCGTTGACCCGCGCTCTGAAACAGTTCTTTTACTGCTTGCATATCTCCATATCCATCTCCTTAGAAGAAAGTGCGAGTAGCGGGACTATGATAGTCTAGGTATTCGACTATAGCATTCTTTGCCTGGTTCTATATTATATATTTTCTGGATAGCTCAAACTGTTTAAGTTGGTTTTTTAGGAAGTTTTAATTACATTGAGGTACTAAAAATTTATATTACAATTAGCCCATTCTTGAAATATTGATTTTGTTGAAAGTGTTGGTTGTTAATTTGTGCTTTTACTTAAACTAAATCACAATTGCCTTACCCTAGAAATATCAACAATTGCGCATTAAGATTCTTGGTGATTGCTATTATTGCATTAGCGGTGCCCCTGATGAGCGTCCAGATCACGCCGTCATGTGCGTGCACATGGGACTCTCCATGGTAAAGGCCATTAAGTAAGTAGCGGTTGTAGACATTTCTCTGGGGAGTGTGGGGAACAGCTTGACAGGCGAAAGGTGACGTAAAATCAACGATTGTTCAATTAATAATGATTGCACTGTAATAACCACGCTCGCTCCTTTTGCTAGTTGGGCGAAATCCTCTACCTAGGCACACTTTCTGGGGCGTCTAAAAATCAATCAATTATTACTCCCTCCCTGTGCTTGCAGGTATGTGCAGCAGAAGGCCAACTCACCTGTTGATATGCGAGTGGGCATTCACACTGGAGCCGTGCTCGCCGGCATTCTCGGGCAGCGGCAGTGGCAATTTGACGTTTACTCAAAGGACGTAGAACTGGCTAATAAAATGGAATCGAGCGGAAAAGCTGGGTAAGTGCAGGCATGTCCCTCTCTCTACTGCATAATTGATAATAACCAACATCTGTATATCAATGTATTATTAAAAACTCAATCTTTAATTCTTAGACGCGTTCACATTTCGGACAAAACGCTTGCATTTCTGAACGGCGAATTCGAAGTGGAGCCCGCCTTTGGGGAGAAACGGGAGGAGCTGTTGCGTATTGCTGGACTAAAGACGTATTTTATTACCAAAGTAGTTAAGGCGGTGAGTTTTAAAAAATATATATATCTTTGAACGGCGCATCGGATTTTATGAAATAAGGTGTCAGTCCATGCGTATTTTTATAATACATTTTTGCGGGAGCTAATGCTGTCTACCAATCTAATATATTTAATTTCTACACTTTTTCCTAGGCCCCTTTATTTTTCTTGAGTAGCAAAACGATTACTTTTTCCACTACCTTTCGATTGAAGTATCACTTTTGATCAGACAACCATAGCACACTTTAATTTACTTTTAAACCCGTTACCCGTAGAGTAAAAGGGTATACTAGATTTGTTGAAAAGTATAAAACAGGCAGAAGGAAACGTTTCCGACCATATATTCTGGATCAGTATTAAAAGCCGAGTTGAACTGGCCATGTCCGTCTGTCCGTCCTTCTGTTTCTGTGTCCAAATGGACGCCTCGATCTCACGAACTACAAAAGCTAGAATGTTGAGCTTCCAGAGACATAGACGCAGCGCAAGACTAAAAAAATGACATATAGTCTATAGTCTATAGTCTAATATTAAGAATTCCATCAATGTTTTTTTATATAATACAGTTTTATAAATTAATTGAATACATTAAAATGTATAATAATTATATGAGTCTCTTCCAGTTTTCATCGCCATGTGCCAAAAAAATAAATGAATCCCAGGATGAAATCTCACCCTCCAGTCCTAATGGATCGATGAACGATATTGTTTCAGAAGAAGATGACAACGATGCCACATTAGACGACGAAGAGCTCCTGGCGCAGAATTCTTTATCCAATGGACACCAAATAGTGACTACAGTGACTGCAGACGAAGAGGAGCAGGTGAAATTGGAGAACTTCAAACAACGATTGAAAGATGAACTGGTAACGCGCGACGGACATGAGTAAGTAAAAAGAAAACTTAGTTATATACTATAGCATATCCAAATAAATTATATAAATTAAATAAATTAATTTGACTGTTAACTATCAGTCTACATATTTTTAGGAAACAAAGTGATTACATATTTTTATGTTCCCATTTAAAGAAAAAAAAATTTAATTTTTTCCAGAAACCTAACCAAGGACACTAACATATTCTTGCGCTTCAAAAACCCGCAGCTGGAGCAATCGTACGCCGTATATAGAGAGCCGTACAGTTCACTTCCGCTTCTTGCCGCTCTAATGGTGCAGTGCATTGATGTGTTATACTCATACTTAGTCCTGCCGAGATCTACCCTGCATTTCATTAACATAGCTGCGCCGTTGGTACCGATCGCCATGCTGGTAGTGATCAGCCTTGCCGAGAGCTTTGGCGGCATGCTGCCCAAGTTTTTCGTAGATGTGAGCAAGCGCTTCAATGACATAACCTTTGTTCGCGAGCTGGCTGCCATAATTATTGCACTCACCATTGGCTTCAGTAACGTTATCGACATGGTTAGTTTGTGTTTTTGTCAAAGATCAAATATGTATGAATCATTGCAATCAAATATTGGAATGCAAATCCTTTAAATATCAGTTGAAATAATTTTACAATACGTTCAACGCAATAAATAAAATTGTTTTAACCCTACAATGTATATACGAACATATATTCTTGATCACTATCGTCATCGGAATTCAGAGTTCTACTTTCTATTTTTTCTAGGCTAGTAATCCTAAAGCATAATATTGCACCTCGTGAACCTCGATTTTTATTTGATTTACATATTTGAAGAAATATTTTTAAAGTACATCTGACAAAACCTGAAAGTCAATGAAAATGTTTAATAACTTACAGTTCTTTTTCGTCACCTTCGTGCGTACCGAGCATATTGTGAGTGAAAGCGAGTTCAATGTAACGGCGAGCCTAGATAGCGATATAGCCGTGGAGATGGAGGCGATTGTTACCGCAGAACACCTACTTCCGGCATCATTTGTGGAACAAATGCGCGAGGCTGTGCCCCCGGAACGAGTTCTATATCCGTCCTACTTAAGTAACTTTGGAGTACTTATATTAATTGCGATCGCCGTGATTGCCCAACTTACTCATCTTACGAAGATTTTGCTGCTATTGTCCATTGCAGGTAACTGTAATTAATGCACAACAGTTTTATGTCGTAATAAATTACTATTTTTTTATAGCTTTGCATTGCTATTTCAATATATTCATCATGCAGGATCTTTATGCTCTAGAGGATGATTTTGAACATCAACCGTAAGTTATGTTCTGTTAGTTTATGATAAAGATGCTTTCTTAAAAGGATGATGGAAAAATTACGATGTTTTTCACTTCACTTTACTAATAAAGATTTTCTTCATATATTAAACATGTTTAGTATTATATCTACGCGATATGCTGCTTCAGGACTTCTGCTAGTGGCTGCTCTGGCGCTAAGCACCTTGGCAAGACACGTAATTATAATATAAAGTTAGGCGCATGATATATGCACATATCAAATAATTGCAATTTACAGATGGACCATGAAGATAGGGTCATTTTCAAATGGAAAACTGAGGTGGCCGAGCAAAAGGAGACCGCAAACGATATGCGGCAGCGAAATGAGGCTTTGGTCTACAATGTCTTACCTGTCCATGTGGCAGAGCACTTCATGAAGAACACTAAACGCTCTCATGATGATCTTTATTCTCAGAGCTATGCTGAAGTTGGGGTATTATTCGCCAGCATGCCAAACTTTTCTGGTAAGATTAAACCAATATTCCACATATGTATAAACAAGTACACCTCAGGAATTATATTCAAACTTCGTGAGTTAGTAACAGGTTACACCAATGCCCAATGCCCAAATTTTAGCAGAGTATTAGAACTGAGGCGTATTGGTCAAAGCTTTGTTGTGCTTTATTGACAAAAGTGATTATATTATCTTTGTGCCTATAAAATGTAATAAATTAAAGATATTTGGACAATAATAGTTTATTTTGTCACTGGACAAACATCTATTTTTTGAAAACATTAAAACGTTGATATTTTTCCAGTTTTTTATATTTGTATGTATGTATATTGTAAATTTCTATAGATTTGCAAAAAAAATGTTGCCACTCCCACACCTACGCCCACACACCGCCCAAAACTGTCACGCCCACACTTTTCAAAAATGTGATATTTTTTCACTTTTTTATATATTATGTAAATTTCTACTACTGAAATAACTATCGACGACTTTCTTTTTCCAGATTTCTATTCCGAAGAAACTGTAAACAACCAGGGTTTGGAGTGTTTACGATTTCTCAATGAGGTTATCTCAGATTTTGATGCTGTAAGTAAATGTATTCATACTATTTCTTATATTTATTTATACCCTAGCACAGTGCATATCAGTCAGAAGGCTGCCACTTAATCAGCATCAACAGCCAGATTCTATATAACCATATTCGCCTGTCCCTCCGTCTGTTTTTACGCGAACGAGGCAGCTTAAAGCTGCCGAACCAGGCTGCGTTCGGAAAAATCGAATTTAAAAAAATTTTGTTTTCCATTTATTATGTAGTTGAAATTTAAAAAATTTTCCAAAATCAAAAACTTGACTTTTTTATTTTTTTTTAAAAACCATTTTTAATTTTTTTTCTCACAATCGCTCCTCAGCTTTATCACTCCTCAGAATTTAGAAAATAGTTATCATTTGAAAGAAAATCTTGTTCTTTTCAGATATTATCAACAAAAAACACATGAGAATAAGAGATTAATTTTATTTAAAAAATCCTTTTTTAGTTGTTGGAGCTGCCCCAATTCCAAGACATCATCAAGATAAAAACTATTGGTTCCACATATATGGCTGCCAGTGGGATAAATCAGCAGAGAACTCTTAGAAATGACGCCCCCATTACAGAAAGGTGGTCTCACCTAGCCATTTTGGTGGAGTTTGCATTGGAACTGAAACACGCCTTGCATGGCATCAACGAGCAGTCGTTCAATCACTTCGTTCTCAAGATGGGGATCAATCATGGACCGATCACGGCTGGCGTTATTGGCGCACGTAAGCCGCATTACGACATCTGGGGTAATACGGTGAATGTGGCATCGCGAATGGAGAGCACAGGAAAGGCAGGCGCCATTCAGGTCACAGAGGATACCTGCAATATTTTACAACCGTTTGGTTACAAATTCCTTCAGCGTGGTCTGGTAGCTGTCAAAGGAAAGGGACAGTTGATGACATTTTATCTGCAGGTAAGCCTGATTCCCTAAACATAAAAATAAAAATCTCATTTTTGAAACTTAAAAGCTGGAATAGTTGGCCCACCAACTAGCTTTGTGTTGCCCACGTTCTTCAAAATTTTTTGTATTCGTTTGAAAAACGATATCTTTTTAAAAATAATACAAACGATAAAACTATTTTGAAAGGGTCGGCCAACGGTTTTTATTGAATATATTTAGTTAAAATATGTGGACAAACGAAATTTATTATTTTTAAAGGTTTATAAAAGAGAACAATAAATATTAACAAACATATTTTATTGAAAACATTTATTTATAAGATGTGAACGATAAAAACAAAATGTAGTGTGTGGGCAAACGTGCGATAAAATAAAACTAATTTCCCATCTAACCCATCTTCTTTAGCCTAATTCACTTGCAATGTCTTTTAACATTTTGCACGTGGGCAATTGGTTATCCGCATCTAGTACACACATAGATATGAATGTATTAGATATACATATGTTAGTCTCACAGGAGGTTTCTCATGGGATACTAAATGAATACACATGTTAAATTTATAAGCCGTAGTTAGGACCATGTAAAGCCATGTAAAACCATGGCCGTATCTTTCCCTACAATCTGCATGCTTAATCTTAACTTTTTTTGGTTCAGCAGGCTGACAAATTTTTTGTGTATTTTTTTTAAATTTATTATTATTCCTGTAAATGTTGATCGATATAGCAAATAAAATTAATAACGCCCACACTAAAGGCCACAATCCGCGAAAAACTGAAGCCCAAAATATTTGGTTTCTTTTTATCTTATCATTTAGTTTATATTGATATTTCAAACTGTCCTTTTCAACTCTAAAAAAACCTAATACATGATGTTCTATTCTTTTTCAAGGGTAAGTCCCAGCCGAGTGCTGAGCCGGTACCCCCCGGCGTAGTCGATCTCAATGGGCTGGATTCGTCTGCCCTAGAATCCACAAGCGAACTGGAGGCCTCAGACATTAAGATGCCCCTGCTGAAGATGAATGTCCAAGAGCAATCGGTGGGAATCGACCAAGATCAGAGCTTGAGAAATGAAAGTGAGGGCCAAGAGGGGGTGGGAGAATTTCAGTCTTTGCTAGAATAATTAGCTTGTCATTCTTATAAACTAGATTCTGTATAAACGTGTAACCAGGATGGATATGGATGTGGATGTGTGTGTGGCCGTGTTAAAAAAGTTAACTATTTTGAAGAAATTATTTTTGCAATAAATTTGCTTTTGCCTCAGTATTCGTGTGATATTCCATGCCAGATGATTAATGAAAGAAATAAACAAAATTCGAAATTAGTTAACAAATATATTATTGCATTCCAAAAGTTGGTAAACTGTGTACCTAAAACAAGAAATATATATATCTTTTAACTATATTTCCGTACATCTAAGTATTTTCAGTTATTTTAAACCAGCCTTCGTTTAACAAAAAATTGTTAATTTTCAGAAATCTGTAATATTTAAGTGATCCACTTCGCTTTGCAGCTAATTGATGTGTAAAAATATAAATATCCGCTTTATAGTTAATTCCAAAATTACGATATAAGTAACATTATAGTTATAGACATATAGAATATATTAGTTGAGAGTCCAAATCCCACCACATACAACTAAATCCCACGTGTCAGTCCAAATTGAAAAAGAGACATAACATAATTAATTAGTAAAAATTAATGAAATATAAAAATGAAGTGGAAATCAAACAAAAAATATATTATCTTTAGAGTGCGTTCTTGGGCGTCATCAACCAACATTATACCTTCTTACATATGGAAATATTTAAATTAAAAGAAACTTATTAGCATTGCATTCTTGTTAAAACAATTCAACGAATTAGCAAAGCAACAAAATGAAACGAACTTACTTATGAAAAGATACAAACAAAACAAGGATCTTGATCTAAAATCTTATGAATGTGTTTGTCCATCAGGTTTTTGTAATCTATTGTCTAAGTTTATCTTTGATGGCTTGAGGCATGACAATCAAGATGAAAGAGCACTGTAGAAACGATTGGGTTAGCTCGAAATTCCATTGCTAAAAAAACACTATGAACTATTTCAAAAACATTTTTTAATGGGTTTAGAAGATTGTGGTTAAAAAACATTGTGAACTAATTCAAAAACATACGTTTTTTTTTTACTGTTTTTAGCAGATTGTGTTGTTTTGTCATCAAACTTTAAAATGAAATAAAGTTTTATTTCATTAAAAAATAATGGACGTTAATATTAATTAATTAAAACCTACCAAAACGAATAGCAAAATATAGCGAAAAAAAATAAAATTGTTTAAGCCAATAACTTCTGTTTTTTGGATGGTCGTGTACATATTTAATACCCATTTACAGTACACAAAATGTTGAGATTAAGCATGCAGGGTCTAGAGACATAGACGCGGCGCATGTTTATTTCCAAATGTTGTCACGTCCTCTCTAACCTCACAAAACTGTCACGGCACACTTTTGAAAAATGTGATATTTTTTCATTTTTTTTATAGTTAAATTTATACAATACAAACGCCCACTCTAACCGAACAAAACTCTCACGCCCACACTTTTAAAAAAGTTTTCTTTCATTTTATTATTTTTTCCCCAATTTATACTGATATCTAGAAAATTTTGATATTTCTCGTTTGCACTTCCACTACCTGAGTAACGGGTATCTAGTCGGGGAACTCCACTTCAGCATTCTATATATATTATATTGTATAATATTACACATCAAGACTATTCCAAGACTTTTCTACAGTTGGCCAGGGACGGTAAGTTAATTAACAGAAGGCTAAGAATAAGGAGATCATATACAGATGTACGTCCAAAAGTGTTTTTGTACCTATGCGAATCAAATAAACTCCACGAAGCTGGGGTTTCATACTCAAAATTCGGACGGACTAGCAAAAGAATAAATCATCACTATTTTATGAAATTAAGCAAAGCCATGGTTTTATTTTCTATGAACGAAATATGATCTGAAAATATACATAAGTAGAATACCAATAACACCAAGAGCGTCAAAACGAGTTATTCTGCCCTAAGAACAATTAAAACTATATGCTATAGTCGAGTTCCCCGACTATCAGCTACCCGTTACTCAGATTTTGTGGAATATCGGTAGAAATTGGGAAATAAAGTTAATAAAATTAAACAATCCTAACATTTCATTAAAAGTGTGGGCGTGACAGTATTTCGGGGTTTGTGGGGTTAGCGTGGGCGTAGAAAAATGTTTTTTTTGGCAAATATATAGAAATTTAAAAGATACAATATTAAAAAATGAAAAAATATCACAGCATTTTACACAAGTGTGGGCCTGACAGTTTTTGGCGGTGTGTGGCCGCCAAAACTGTTTGGCCAAAAAATTGTTTGGCAAAGTTATAGAAATTTACAAAATATATAAAAAAAAATGTCACATTTTTCAAAAGTGTGGGCGTGTCAGTTGTGTGGTTTGTGGGCGTTAGTCTACTTGCGTAAGGAGGTAATATAAGTAATCCATCCAAATTTAGGCGCCGAAGGGCATACAGTAATTGACCATCTTATAAAACCAAGCACACCCCTGACTAGACGATAGACAAAAAAACTTTTTTAAAAATTAAAAATAAAATATATATTTGTTTTATTATTTTTTATTGATAGTTCAAACTGTCCTCTCCAACTCTAACGCACACAAGCATTTTTTAAAATCAATTTAATTTGTTTCGTATATTATTACTTTTTAAAAGAATTATGAAATTGATTTCTTTAACTCTCAATGATGTCTAAAATATAAATATCCGCTTTAAAGTTAATTCCAAAATTACGATATAAGTAACATTATAGTTATAGACATAAAGAATATATTAGTTGAGAGTTCAAATCCCACCGCATACAACTAAATCACACATGTCAGTCCAAATTAAAAAGCCTTAGGTTATCCGATAATTTAAAAATTGGATCCAATTAAGCATGCAGCTTCCAAATGTTGCCACGCCCACTCTAACGCCCACAAACCGGCCAAAAATGTCACACGCAAGCTTTTGGAAAATTAAAAATTGTTATGTTATTTTAAGATTTTTTTCCCCAATTTCTACCGATATTCCAGAAGATGTTGAAATTTCTCCTTCCACCATCTCCATCTGACCGTCAAGGAACTCGACTACAGCATTCTCTCTTGTTGACCTTAATTTTAAACTTTTTGACCCCCATATTATCCGTCTAGAAATCTCCAAAACATATGGTTGAAAATAGCTCGTTTGGGAGCCGAACGGAGTTTTGGAAATGCAAATAGTCTCTACAGAGCCAACTTGTGTCTGCAATCCTTAATATTATCCTAGCTTGACTTATTTTGACAGTTGGAGTGCAGTGAAGACAATTCGGATAAGTAGCATTCCTAAGCAAATCCAAAAGTCTTTTAGCTCGATTAGATCTAATCGGCATTTTTGAGAACTTATTAAAATCAGTCCCGTTGACCAACCTTAAGTTTGATAAAAGACACTTGAATAACAAGCTGAGAAACCGCCCCTATACGATTTTTTTTTTGTAGCTCCAGGCTCTCTCGAATTTCGGTTCAAGAGCCAGAGAGAGAGCGCTCTAGAGGCTTTAGCTCTCTTGTACGCATACAGCGACACTCGATCACTGCATGTGTGCACACGTATGTAAATTTAAACTTCACATCAGATGTTTATAGTCTTTCATAATAATACATAATAATACCTAATTCATTTCATAAACTACTAGTTTACGGTACTTTATTTCTCGTTAGAGTATTCAGCTCGCGACGTGGAGAAATATATGTAGTTAGTGATTCTTAGGTGCGCTGGTCCTGCCTCAAGAATACAATTTTGCAATAAACAGGTGCATATGAAGTTTTTTAACTATTTAAAATGTTTATTAGTGCAAACTACTAGTATACAAGTAAAAATATGTATACTTATGTAAATGACCAATTTTTAGTATTTGAAATGCAAATATAATTTTGATCAACGTTTTTGTTATATTCTAATTTAATATTTTTAAAAACCGCGCAATTTTGGGTGGGTAAAAAGGCGCGCCAAACTGTAACCAACTTGTCTATGTCTCAGGAAGCACTTGCTTAATTTCAATTCTAACATTTCTAGTTCCTGAGGTCGAGGCGTTCATATGGACAGATGGACATGGCCAATTCAACTCGGCTATTGATCCTGATCAAGAATATATTACTTTATATAGTCGGAAATGCTTCCTTCAGCCTGTTACAGACATATATACTAAACAAATCTAGTATACCCTTTTACGAGTAACAGGTATATTTATGCCGTTCGCAATGCTGACCGGCAGAATCTCATCGAGTAGTATAGTAAGACTGCATCCTAGAAACTACCGGTTTGGTCAACTCCTGTTGAGGTGGTTAAAGTTAAAATCGACTGGCAACCAAAAGGCGACTACAAGGAAATGTAGCGCTAAACGAACTTAGACCTTAACAAATCTGAGATTTTTTCTGACCTCGGAGTGTAAAATGTTTTTAATACTTAAAAAGTTTTGTAAATTTCAGTTAGTTTGGAATTAATTGTTATTTTCTTTGTTTTTCTTAACCTTTCTTTATTTTTTTATAAAACTCGATTCGTGCTAAATCATAAAATAGTTCTAGATCAAATCTATACTGTTAAGAACCCAAAAATTTATTTTCGTTTGAAAAAAAGTTGCTTACTAGAGGTTAACAGCTTAAGAACTAGTTCGATTACCGGATAATCGAATCTGTAATCGTTTTTCAGCCAAAGTAGGCAAGCTTTTATTAATTTTTTTATTCCAGCACATACGTATAAGCAGCGTATAAGCACTCAAAATGAGCTAGTAATATTACGGTTCACAAATGAAAAAACAATTTACGTTTGTGCTTTTACAGTTTTTTGTTGAAAAAAAATTTTGAAAAGACGGCGTTAACCAGTTCTTATAATAAGAAAGTCAAATAATTATCTCAGTTGTTCGTCGTTGACGCTAAATTAGTACCAAAATAGAGGAGAGATGTTTGGGCAGTGGAGACACGACATTCTTTTCACATCGAGTTTCTATGCCGAGTTCAAATATCGATGTATTATATATATCGATATCGTCTTCGTCTGACAAACCATTTCACGATACCAAAAAAAGTGCAAAAATAATTAAATTCTCGGCGTAATTATTAAGTAAATAGCGTAGTAAAGCATTCGGTGAGTATACCGCGAGCACACGCCAACTTACGAAACATCAAGCGGTAACTGGCATGCTGTGCAATTGCTTGAGGGCAAGGCCATTGCCTGGGTAACCCAAATGCAAAATCTAAGCGATTATGCCAAAAAGCAAAGCAGA